CTAATCTTTGCTATTTCTGAAGTGGAATTTCTATAGTTTCCTCTACAACAATTGTACCAAATGATTCAAGTGTTACCAAAGCCTTATATGAGCTGCTTACTGTGATCCAGAGACGTGGCTCACTGCCCTTCATCCACTCTAGTGATCTAATTCTTCCTGATACCAAACAGAAGTGAGACACAGGAAGCCAGAGGCATAGAGTGGTCTGTTTATACCTCTGGGGAACCTTCCATGATACAAAAGTCGGCTCAATTACTTCTGTTAAATCAGGCCCTTTCCAAAGTAGTAATACAGGGGTGGGGCGAAAGGAAGCTTACAGTCGTGAGCACGTGAAACATGGAGTTTATTCCTGTATTATTATTTATTAATATGTATTATTTATTTGTATTACTGTAAACCTGCTTTTGCCCACCCCTGTATAGAAATGTCACCTATATATATATTTAGAACTGACACAGAAGAAAGGCATATATATATATATTGTTGTTACCCCTTTCAATAAAACAATGTTTTGCCCTTATGTCCCAGTATTTTCCTTTTATGTAATGAAAACATTTAATTAACTTGAAACATAACAAGCTTACTGAGTATATGCGCATGTGTTTCTGGGTTTGCATGTGCATATTGAGGGCATAGACTGGCATAGATAGTATAGCATGATAACAAAACCATCCAAGGAAGGCAGGCAAAACCAAGTTCAAGAAAGAAATGAGCAGGTATCAGGAAAACTGCATAAATATATAATTCCTTCAATTCTGAAAATATATTACACAACATCAAAAATGGCAATATTTTATGTTTATGTTTTACTATTTATAAAACTATTTTAATATATGTTTTCTCACAAAGTAGACATGGACATATAAGGGAAACAAGACTTAAAGAATTTGAATTTATGTTTGCCTTTCTTTCCAAAATGAATTCAAGTGTGGATATAACAATTTTCCCTAAGGCTCCATGGCACAGAGCTCTGTAAAGAAGTCTGATTTACTGACATACAGTTTTAGTGTTAATTTGCTTTATATTGTGCTCATTATGCTGGCCGAAGGTAAATTATAATGAATTCTTGGGAAAGGTATGTTATATTAGTTAACTCTATCTCATGCTGTCCTGAAATCATCCTGGTTTTTTAAGTATGGGCACATATGTCATGGTAATGAAGACATAAATTTATTATCATATCATGGACTCCTGTGAAGTTCATAGACAGAACCAAGAACATATTTCTACTTCATTTAAATCAAATAGAAAGTATACTGCTTTTAGAAGAATCACACAAAAAAGTGCAGAGAGAGGATGGGAATAAAGATAATTACTAAATCTTGTATAATATCATAACCATCGTATAGCTCATTGGGAGAAGATTTAAATCTCACAATTGGTCTGGTAGTAAAGTAAATATGTGTCCCCACAGATTGCTTTTTGTCTAATACAAAAATCAAGCAACTTTTATGACAAAATTATTTTTGGTCAAGATTTCAAAAGTGTGCTTGCCTTAAATAAGCTATGTGAACGAACCTGTGTGAATGAACAAGATCCTCATTACGTGAATTATATTTGTGGTACCGATTTTTAGAATTATAAAATACCTGCAAATTATATGAATAGAATATTTACCTTGAATTAATCTTTCCCAGCAATGGCTTTGTATTTATGTGGAGATAAGCAATGTTTGCTTATCTTTAGAGAATAGATGTGATAAATCACATTCTACATTCTAGTAGAAATTTTTTGAATCGAAGGTTAATAGAAGTGCTCTTTTGAAAAAGATATAGGGCCTATTTTAAAATGGTACTGGCAGAGTGAAAAATCTGTTGGATTTACTACAAAGGTACATTTGGCTTTAAATGACACAAATGATAAGGTTATATTTAAGCACATTTTCCCCTTAAAGTATCCCTTGTGCAGCTTTACAAAATAACAAGGAACTACTTTGCTGTCTCTCTATACTTTAAAAATACTATGTATATGTGTGTGAATGCCTCACTGATAAACATTTTAACTCATCAGATTCATTTTTATTTCTGTGTGTTTGTCTTTGTCTAACTTACCACACAGATAGATGATAATTTTTCATTGCTTTTTCTCTTTTTAGAGTCTTCAACACATTCTTTTCCATTCAGAACTTTTCTTTTTTTTTCTTAAACTTAGCGTATATTTAATTATCTGTGCTACTGACCAGAATGCACTTATTATATTTACTTAGTGCACTAGTGATTCTCATTGGGGTTACAATGAAAACAAATTCCTGCCTTCAATGGGTTCCCATTTTCTCAGCCCGAGTGTCCTGCTCTTTGATGTTCCTGCCTTTAAAGCAGCGATTTTCAACAAGTGTGCTGCAGAATTTGTAAAACATGCAATACCTGACTATTTAGTCAGGGGCACTGACCTCTTTTCCCTTAGACTGTCAAATTAAAAAAATGACAACAGCCAACACAGCAATAGCTGTCAAGTGTGCATGAATCAAAATTATGCCTATTTTTTGTCAGATCGGCAAAAAATGTAAGATATTTTTTGGTGTGCCGCCGAATTTTAGAAATAAGAGATGAAGAAGGTTGAAAATCCCTGCTTTAGAGTCTCTCAGTCTACACAGCTTTCTTCAGAAAGGTTTCTGGATTCGTTCTAGCCCAGAGTACTGACCACCCACAGCCCACCCAGTGCTACTCCAGTTAGCAATTATCCAACATCTTCCAAATGTGTACGTTCCAAGAGCACAGAAGATCCAACTTAAATGAATTCTTTGTCTCCTACGGGCCGAGAATCCTGCTGAACACCATGTAGTCATGCAACAAATATGTGTCAGAGGCCGTATCTCACAGTTATATCTATCTCTTGGCATCACCAAATGGGTTAAACTGAATCCATCAGCTTTATATTAATCCTCATAAGTATATAAACATAATTTAGTCATGTACCTGAGAGTTCAGATAACATGGAAAATATATTTTTTTCAAGTTCTCAAAATGAGAGATCGACACACACACATATAAATTTTATCTCTAAATATTTTGCCCTGTCTTTGTAAACATTTATTTATATTCCTGATCCCTAGGATATGCCCAAATCTGAAACTTTAATATCTGAAAGAATGGCGACTCTCCTGATCTGATTTGAATTGGCTTGGGGAGAACATTTATAAAGTAAATGAAAAGCAGGAGTTGACTGTAAGGTGGGGGGTTGCTACTTGGGACCAAATCAGTGCACTCAGGTATGTGATTATTCAACAGCTTACCCAGAAGGGCTGGGAAAAGTTGCCCTAAGGCAGTACCAACAAGGTATTCATAGAAGATAAGATATTGAACTAAGATTTGTATATTAGCGCGGGAGTTGTGGTAAGAGATGGATGATCTATTTAGATTTCTGGAATGAGAATTCACACTGTGTTTGTCCTCGGCATGGTGGTTACACACCTTATTAAAATAACTCATTGGTTTAATTCAAAGATTCAGAGTACAATGTTACATTTATTATTTCAAAAATCTCTCTTTCTAATGCTGAGTTGTCAATATATTTGTTTGAAAGCGTACATCTATTGCCTATTTCAAAATTCTAAATAGAAGAACATTTTAATGAGGACAGTAGATAGAGAAATTAAGCCACATATATCCATCTGGTAAATATTCTGAGAATCATGAATTCCTATCTTAAATATTTCTAAGTTTATTTTTCCTTTATTCTTCTTCATTTGTGTTGTTATAATTTTTTAATTATTTGTACCCCACTTAGTTAAAAAAAACCTTGAGAGTTTGAAAACATATGTTCTTTCTTATGTTTATTGTTTAAATCTCTGTAATAGCAATTTATTAATTATTAATTCAGTAAGTAAATACAAACGGAATTTGATTAGGTCAAATTCAGTAACTTTACTCCTTTCCAATATACTAAAGGGTACCTAGCAAAATTCTGCTATCAAATGCCACAAAGAATGGCTGAGACTCTAAAATCTTTTGTAACAGGAAAGAGAGCACTATTTAGATCACATCTCCCAGTGGATTGTTTTGGATCCATTACCAAGACTTTTACAAAATGACACAGGCCCATGAGTAATTCATGTATATTACGTGACTCCCATATATTATGTCACATTATATATTATGTGACTCTTAATCATCACAATAACATATGTATGTGATGAGCAATCCTCACAATAACATGCAAAATAACCATTTAAAGCCTTGAATATAGGGACCATGCTTTATTAGCTTTCTATTCCCATTATCTGGATTGGCTTTATTAGGCAGGCACTCAATACGCCTGTGTGCACATATCCATGATGAAAAGATGAGGGAACCAACTCGCAAAGCATTTGGTCTGCCCCAATCCAGAATTACTGAATTTAAATCCAAGTCTATCTAACCTTGAAATGCACACAAACCCTGCTTATGTTGCACTCTTGATGCTAGTTTTCAAGGTAAGAATATTTTTCTCTGTGTTCATATATAATTATCTAGAATGATGCTATCAATCATGAGTTGAGTTCCAATTACAAAACAAATATTATTAAGAGTACGGATTGGTGCCTGCAGAAAAAGAGGGTAAACTGATCATCATAAATTATTTGACACATGCTCTGAGTAACAGGGCTAAATAGTGTCAAGGCAGTTATACCAATTTTTCTTGAACTTGGTAAAGACCAAGAAAGACCAAAAAATGATAATTTCAGAACAATAAAAATACCTCGTATCTTCTAATCTGTGATATATACTAGCTACTCGATGGAAGATAGCTGTTATAATCCTCTGATGACTGATATCATTAAAGAAACATTATCAAGAACAACCAAAGATACATTTTGTCAAATAATTTCTCTTTACCATATATTCTGCTGTTTCCTCCTTAATTAAAATTCAACATAATATACCCAGATTTGCACGGCTAAAATAAAATGACACTATGGAAAAACAATATGGACATTTAAATCGCACAGGTACATCGTTCATTTTGAATATCCAGCAACTTATATTACATCTTAAAAAGAGAAGTAACAAAAACATCCTTACCTTAGAAAATTGTGCATTTATCCATTTTGTGAATGTTTTCTTTTGAACATCTTCTCTTTCATCTACAAGGAAAAAGAAAAAAAGATGAAGAGTTCAGAAGCAATTTTGAATATCATTCATGTCTTATAATAAAAAACTTAATTATTATATATTACTGTTATTTTATATCTATTATTAAATGCACTGATAAATGAAATTAAACATGAGTGATGTTGGTATTTGATATCAGAACTAAAATAAAATCTGAAAAATAATTGATATGGTCAATTCCATACTCATTCAAGTATTACATAAAGGCATTACAGAAAAATAGTCTCATCTAAATAAATGAAATATTATTTATTCCTCTATAATGACTAGATACTCGAGCATAATCAAAAGAACCTATTATCTGTCATTCTTCTGAAAAACTACTCCTGAGCATTTCCTCTTAACCTTCACCCCCAATCCGTGTAGAAATCATTTTTCCCTCCTTTGCAATAGCTGCATACTCTAACATGGGCCCCTAGCATAGCCCTTTCCCATTATAGGAGAGGCTTCCTGATCATCAGCAGCATGGCTTAGTTATCGCTGCACCCCTAAACTTAACACACTGTCGGGACAAATTAACAGCTCAGCAAATATTTGATCAAAAATTTTGTGAGTGCTTTAAAAAAGAGGGACCTTACAATTCCAAAAATTTTAGTACTTCTTTTCATTTAAAAGTCAGGAAATTTTTGCCCTGACCAGTTTGGCTCAGTGGTTAGAGCATCGGCCTATGAACTGAAGGGTCTAGGGTTCGATTCTGGCCCAGGGCATGTACCTCAGTTGCAAGCTTGGTCACCATTGGGAAAGCAACCAATTGACGTGTCTCTCTCATATTGAGGATTCTCTCTCTCTCTCTCTCTCTGAAAAAGCAATGGAAAAAATATCCGCGCATGAGGATTTAAAAGTCAGGAAATTTCAAATAAAAATACAAATGATACTCTTCATGGATTACATATAAATACTCAAGGGAAAAATCCTCAAGGACTTCTTCTACTAAGAGGTTGGGGGGGGGGGAAATGATTAAGAAACAGCTTCACAGAACTCATACTTCTAAAAATTATCTTTTTTCCTAAGCTGGAAATTAGAATTGAGTCAAATGGACAGAAAAGTCACTAATCTTGATTTATTAAAATGCTTTTTTGAAGCCAAAGCCCATCTTTGAATTACTGTAAATATAATCATATTAGTCAGTGTTCAATAAATGAGTGCATCTGAGAAAGATTTAAAATGGAGAGATTTCACATTTTATTTACTTGGGTCAAAAGGAACCTTATTGAAATGCCCTGACAAAATAACCTTATTTGCTCTTATATTATTTTTCAATAGTAAAAAGATTATATAGGGGATCACTTTCCCATGACAAATGCATCCATGCACTAAGAGTATCTCTTTATCTTTAAAGCACATTATTAACCCATAAGGAGAGACTCTTAAGCAATATGAGATAACAGTGGATAAATAAACCTAAAACTGTTTTCATAGATGAGAAAGTTTTATTTAGCATCACAAAATACTTTCTTCTTATTTAACAGTGTTACTCCCACAAGCTGCTATGCACGTGGTAAAATAACAGCATTATCATACATACAATATAGGATAAATTATAGCTACAATATGGAAGTCTTTCCTTTGTTGACATGTGTGAATTAATAAAAGTAGATAATAATTGTTTTCAAACCTAATAAAAATAAACATCATTTCATATGCTCAAAATATAACCATTTTCATGGATTTGCTATAGAAAGACTGGTCTATATATCTATTTCTCCGTGTGTGTGGTATGTGTGTGTGGTGTGTGTGTGTGTATACACACATAAATAATTATCTAGAATTGTGCTATTGATCACGAATTGAGTTCCATTTGCAAAATAAATAAATGTTAATGACATTCTTTGTAATTCCACTTATTTTTTCCTACATGTGCATGATATCCTATCTGTCAAATATGGGAGAGTAAATGAGTCATCTGAAAGCATTTATTTAGAGGTTTTTAAAATGTATTCAGCCATCCTCACCAAAAGCTGGGTAGGAGGACATTTGAAGAGACTTGTTCCAGATGCCTTCAAGTGAAAAGTGGGTAGTGAAGAAATATTCTCATTGTTTTCAATTATATGTACAAAAAGCAATGTTTAGATAGGCCTTGAAGGCAAGAGAAAAACCTTGACATTATGTGCAAAATATTATGTAACTATGTGTAAATAGCACTAAATTAGAACTTTATCATATAAACATCTTCAGTAGATGTCCTCTCCTACCTCTTCTGCTTTTAATACAAGAAAAAAACACGTTGAAAAAAATAAATTACTTGCTAACGTTTTATTTTGGTATAGAAACACTTATTTTCTTTAACGCGAAAAATATTAATGTAACTTATTTTATTATTATAGACTATATAAAATTTATTAGTGTCTTATTGTTCACACAGCTGTTTTACATATGTAATCTCAGTCCATATGTAATTTGCCACTTTACAGATTAAAAGACTACAAGCTCAGAAGGAATAAAGTTATGAAGTGACAGAGATAAATCTGATAAGATTATCTGAATCAAAGTCCATGCCTTCTGCCTGGCCGGCTTGGCTCAGTGGTTGACCATTGATCTATGAACCAGGAGGTCATGGTTCGATCCCCGGTCAGGGCACAGGCCCGAGTTGAGGGCTCGATCCCCAGCAGGGGGCGTACAGGAGGCAGCCGATCAATGACTCTCTCATTATTGATGTTTCCCTCTCTCTCTCCCTCTCCATTCCTCTCTCTGAAATCAATAAAGACATATTTAAAAAAAAAAATAGTTCATGGCTTTTCACACTGACCAGTTTATATTGTAATTGCATAGATCATATGGAATGCCATGAGATAACCAGAGTCACAAAAGCTGAACATATTAACACACATCCAAAACAACCATGAATTCAGAGAATCTAGTTTGAACAACCCAGGGGGTCCCATGTATGTTCTAATCTATGTGAATGGCACCCTGGATTTTACAAAGCACAACCCCCATGGATTTATCAAAAATCAAACCTTCCCTATGATGCTGGATGATTTGTTTGTTAATATTTAAATAATAATGCTCAGATTTTTACTAATTGATATTTAGTATTCAACTTTTGCCATATATTAACATTATGGAAATATGTAACATTCAACAATCACCAAGTTTGATTTGTGTATTGCAATCCCCACAAACATGTACTTTACATAGTCACAATAATATTCTGCCTTTTTTCACTTATTTTACACAAATATGCCACCGTTTTGTTTCCTACTAGAGATTCCACCATAATGAACATCTTCATGCATTCCCTTTCAGCTTCTGGTGTATAATTGCCTTAGGATAAATTATTGGGTTAACGTTATGGGAACTTTTCTGGCTTTTACTAAATATTGTCATCCTGTATTCCCAATGGCAATAGCGATTTTTAGTGGTACCAGAAAGAATGAAGTTATGCGGTGGAGAGTAGTTTTTGTTGCTTCTGTTTTTAAAGTGATTGTTGCTTTATGTGATTCAAGGAAAGAGTTGATGCTTTTTTAAACTGGAATCTGATTACTAAGCAAGTAGAACCTGTTTCATACATTTCTTTTTCATGCTTCTACTTTTGTCAGAATACTTGTTTATTTCCTCTCCTCATGTATCTATTGAGCACTTGATATTTTAAAATTAATTGGAATGAGGTCATAAATTGGCCATTCTTAAGTATTTCAAGTTGTGGACTCCATTTAATTATCTGAGAAAATAGTGATCCTTCTCTATAGAAAAAAAATGCCGATACAGACATATTTGCCATACAGTTTCATGGGTGTCACTGACCTTCCTACAGAAGATTCCTGTTACCATTAAAATCCAAGGTAAGAATCACTATTATAAATTAAGCTATTACTGTTAGTGAAGGAATATATGTTCCCAAGTAGTCACAATCCTTTTAATTTTCACTTCATTTTTTGTGCTAACATTTTATATTTCTGTATATTTGAATCTATCCATTTCCATTGTTATTTCTCATATTACTTAAAAGCTGATCATTTTAAGTGTGATCAGCTGTATATCCATAGTTAATCTAAACTTGATATATAGGGTGTCCCCCAAATGTATACACACTTCAACAGCTGATAGCTCACATTTTGAAAATGAAGTATATTTTAATAAACACTGCCTTTATAATTATTCAAAGTGTGTACATATACATTTTTGGGGACACCCTGTATATTAGCATACATATATAAATTGTTATAGAGTTTATAGACTATCAATCTCTTAATTAAATGTTATTATAGACACAAATTCTATAATAAGAAACATTAACGTGAAATAAGCAACAAAGAGAATGAAAAAAGAACAATCTAAAATCTGTTTTACTAGGAAGTGATTATCTATATACTTCTGTTTAGTCATTTCAAGTAGCACATGTTCTATTTCACTTTCTCTAAGGCTTGTTTATAACTGGTTTTCTTGTTTAAAATCAGTTTATAACTGATTTCTTTTGCTAATAAAAATATGCCTGGATATATTAATAAGAGGCAAGGAAGAAAGTCTATTCTAGAAAAATTTACTTGAAAACTGTGCCCTGGAGATACCAAGGAGTGAACTACTACTTCAGAAATTGCAAAAAGTGACCAACATTTTATTTTATTCTCTCTACAGGGAAAACTCATACAAAATTAGTTTTCTACCATGACATAAAATTTGTATTTTATCTCAGAATTAATTAACCCGTTCTAACAAACCATTTTTATTCAATAAATCTGGCCCTTTATATTTTCTAAGATTAGTGCAAAGAACTTTGGCCCTGTTATTAACTTCTATATTTCTGAGACCCTCCATTCCCTATAAATGTGGGGTAACTGTGATATTCATGATTCACCACAGGGAGTTACTGCACAGAAATTATATTGGGCAAACAGAGAACATTAAATCAGGGGAACTGGTTTCCAGTTTCAGTGCAGAACTGATTAGAATTGTGGCCTTAAGATCACCAGGCCTCAGTCTCTTTATCTGTGAAACGAGGGCATTAATTGCATTTTAACTCACAGAGCTGTTG